CAAAGAGTGAAAGCAGATCATAAAATGCTGAAAACCACTTGGTTGGTTCGGATGCCAAAAACCAAACCCGACAACCGAAAGCCGAACGCTGGTTTCTGAGAGCCGAACACTGGATGGCTTGGTTTTTGGTTTGGGTGAACACCAAGTGTTTTTAATGACTTAAACAAGTTTAAAACCATTTTTATGATGTAAGAAATGCGATGAGAGTTTTTAGCCTAAAGAGCCAAGGTGTAAAGATTGGGTCGATCTTGATCACAATAAAGACCGACTCAATACTATGATTAAGGTCTTCGTTCTTGGTCTTCGTTTAGCTCTTGCTCTTATCTTCGTTCTTCGCCTTGTATATTCAATGTTCGACTTGATCACGGCGGTTTGGCATTATCAAAACCTGTTGCAAAAACGAACACGGCTTTAGTACGAAAACGTGACAAGCCCGTGTTTCAACAATTTCCCCCTTTTTGATAATGGCAAACGAGACGAGGTTATGCATAGGAGGATTATTTTGAAAAAGATGTTCCCCCTTAATAGATGCTATTTTACAAAAAAATTCCCCCTTAATTTATGCATAACCTTAGTATCTTCCCCCTTTTGACATTAACAAAAAGAATGAAAAGTAAACTTTAGAATTGTAAAAGTAAACTTTTATTCATGAAAAAGGGAAATGCGGAATACAACGGAATGGGAAAAAATAAGAAATACAATCATAGGAAGAAGAGAAAGGAAAAGTCTAAGCATCGGCGTCCTCGTCGTCATCCTCGTCGTCCTCGACGTCCATGGGATCGCCGTCGACCGCATCTTCAAATAGCCTCGTCGGGGGAGGAGGATGGAGCATAGGAGTTATCCTCCTCATCCTCGCCTTCATAGTTTTGGTCGAGGAAGGTGCTGTCAAAGGGCGGCGGGATGTAGTTGATGCCGCGAAAGAACGCCGTCATGTCGTGGTGTTGGCGTTGCAGCGTCCAGTCCATCCGCTCGATTGACTGCCCCATGCCATCCACTGTGAGGGTTAGCCGATTCAGAGTATCGGCTATGGATTGTAAAGAGGGCTTGGCGGGAGCGGGGGCTGGTGCACGACTTGGGCCTGCACCGTCCCGGTCTCCGGACTTCTTCCGGAAGGTGTTGTCTTGAATTATCCAAATCTTTGTCATCTTCGTATCCGGGCCGGCGATGGAGATGTCGGCGGAGATGATGAGGTCCATGACGAGGAAGGCGTATGGCAAGCTCTGCTCAGTGGCGATGGAAGCGCACTCCGCCATGTGAATCATGACGTATTTTGCCCAATTGATCGAGGCGCCGTGGGTGATAGCATGAACCGCCTTGAGATCCTCGTTGAAGAGACATGTGTGGCTACCGTCCCGGGGGCGAAGAATCCGGGTGAGGATGTAGAGAAGAAGACGCTTCTCCGGCGAGGCTGAGTGGATTGTTGGTGCGCCGCTGTGACGGATGAGGTTGGTGATCCCAAGCTCTCGGATGACCACCGCCTCGTTGTTGAGGATCCAATCATCTCCGCCATATGTTGCGATGTCGTCACCGCGGGTGGGCAGCCCTGCGACCCGAGCGAAGGTAGCCAAATCAATCTCTATGTCGTAGAGATTGATGCTACTGCGAATGGTGTCCCCGTCCCGGCGGAGATTGGAGTAGAAGGCTCGCACAAAGGCGGGATTGAAGCTCGAGCGACTCCTGGAGACGAACGACCTCAGACCCGATGCTTGAGGCTGATTGTCGAGGTCGTGGTACCCCTTTTGTTGAGGGTACAACTCGGGCAGCACCCTAGGCGGAGAAATGGGACGCTTGGCAAAGTGCGTGAGGAACCGGTTGAGTTCCTCCTCCGACCCGAACTCCAAGAAGGATCCGTCCAGGTACGGAAACGGCTGGGGCGCAGAGGTCGTAGCTTCGGCGTTGCCCTTCTTCTTGGAAGCCTTTGTCTTCTTTCCTCCGGCCATGATTGAAGCAAAATGATGAAGAAATATGTAATAGAGGAGATTTTGAAGTGAAA